AATATTCAGAAATTTGGTAATTCATGTTTTGCAAAGATTGTTTACTTAGGAGTCATGTGAGATTAACTAGACCCTGTCAAAATAACAAATCAAAAAGTTCTGACTCGGCAATTTAACCATTTTTTTTTTTTTTTAGAATAATGCAATTGATCCACGCCATATAGTCAACTCTACAATCTGTTCCTCGCATTTACTGTATGTTTTCACATCTGTAATTAATGTTGTGTTTTCTTGTGCCTTTCTTGTGTGGTATGTGTATCTACAATATTGTTCTTAGGTCTTGGCCATAACAGTAGTCTTTTAATACTATGGTACTAACGTACAGTTTCTCGTAATAGGCTCGTATTTTCAGTTATCTTACAATTGATGATGGTGAAGAATTCCCCGGAAGACTTGCCTGTGAAAACAGAGGAAGCATGAAGAAACTTCTGAGTGGGAATAACTTAATATCACAAATGAACAACTATTTTGAGTTTTTATCATCCAACACTGAGGGTACACAAGGTCTGTGGACATCCCCTTACTTGGATGCCTGGGGTCTCGGATTAATGGTCACTGTAGCTATACCTGCAGTGAGTAAAATTTCAAACAAGTGAGTTTAGTATCTAAATCATATACTGTAGCTTGTTATTAGCTAGCTTGTTATTGAAGCTGATTCAAGATTCAACCGAGAATCTGATTGAATATTGATTTCTCTAATTCATTTATATTTTCTCTAATTCCTTCATATTTACATTCCATTTAAATTTGCTTGTAACCAGTTAATTTGTCAAAAAAATTACTGCATTATATTAAAAAAAAATTAATATATTTATTTGCTTTGCCATGAAGTAAATAATAGAAGGGTTTGATTAAAGCAAATGATGTACAAACTAGTACTAACAATAAAAGTAATATTAATCATTATAACGACCAAATCTTCTTGTCAGGTTCCCAGGGATAGGAGTTGAGAACAAGATTTAATTCAGTTTTATTTCTCTTAGGGTTATTGGAGTGGCTGGTATTGATGCTACATTGGAAGAAATTGAGAATTTGATTGTCAATGAACAGTGGGGAAGTGTGTATGCATTTTTGGTGAACAACGAAGGAGAGACAATCTTCCATCCTCTCTTGAAACCTAGCAGTAAGGTGAGATGTCTATGTAATTAGAACAGGCCTCAATGTCAATCATCCTAGCAGTTTTTGTCAGTGTTTGTCAAAAATCAGAAGGTCGTTTATTTATACATCCCCAAATAACCCCCCTCCCCTCCCCAACATGAAAGAAGGATAAGTTTGATTTTTTTTTTATGGGTGTCATTAGTACCGTAAAATCTGTATTAGAAGCCGCATCCCTAATAGAAGTCGCACCCATTCTTTTTGAATAATTTAGAATAAAAAAATCATCATTTCTCATATGTGTACATGCTCTAATAGAAGCCGCATCCCCTCTGTTGCATTGTACCATTTTAATAGAAGCCGCGGCTTCTAATACAGATTTTACAGTAATGGCTTAATTAATCATTGGCTTCATTGGTCATCCATATGTTATTATGGGTTTCATTTTTCTTCAAAAAATAATTGCCAAGTTCTCAATTTCGGAACCTCCCTCCCAAATATCAAACTATTTAAAGTGTCACCTTTTAAATTCATGCAATTGGCTTGTTAATTTTGAGAGAAATATATATCTTTATTTAACTGTGATAATTTATGTCACTTACCTATGCATGCAAATATTTGTTGCCATCATGCAATGAATGGTCTATTGTGTTCGTGAGGAATAATAGTGTACTTGAACATTTTTAATAGGGAACCTCCCAGTCCCAGGGACCACCAAGTACTTATGGGTAATTTTAATTCCAATTCCATCACTAGGCATCTGTTCAGTACATGTATGTATTGTTTATCTTTCCCCAGTTTTATTAATTCCCAATAACAACAACTGATATAAACTCCTTTTGAAAGCATTAATATGTAACGCATGTTTCATGTTTACCTGCAATTTTGTGTAACTAAAACATGCAATTCTATTCTTTTTCACACATTTTACATTCAGGTTTAAAAATTTTAAAGCAATATGTAACAATATTGGATTTGTGTAAATGTGCACAAAGGACCAAAATCGTTTGGTCACTGTGTCATCAGTAACTAACAAGTGCAATTTTTAATTCTAAATACATCCAAACTTATAATACCATATTCTATGAGGGATCGATCTTTCACTTTGAATACAGTTCTTTTAAGGGGTTAGCATATGTTCGCTGGTTCAATTGTTTGGCCTCAATACACAGACTGAAAAATACACTGCACAAATGTAAATTTAGGCATGAATTCTAGACAAAATAACTCAAAATGGCATCAAACAATATAGGCCTATTTTTCAGTTGTAGTTTTGTTTCCCTTTTAACTACTTGAAACAAAAGACTTGGTATGTTGAACCTATGATGGTGTATGCTACTTAAAAACAATAGCATCATGTAGTTTAAAAACAAAAGAATCAGTATATTGAACTCATGAGGGCATATGTTTAAAAATCAGTATGTTGAACTAATGATGATGCATTTCTTTTTTTTTCAGTTAGTGGATGATCCAATCTTTATTCCAATCTCCAAACTGGAACAAAGAGATGGTAAACCTGCAGCATTTGCTGAAGTAGAGGCTGCAATGAGAAGAGGAGAAAGTGGGTCTAAAACAATTGAAGATGCTTATAGAGGTTTACCAAAGGTTAGTATGCAAATACTTCATGTGCTATATTCACATCCAAATACGATTATATATCTTGTGTTTATTGGCAGTCTCACTGTGACATAATTTGTTTACATTTTTAATGAGTTTGGTGTGTCTGGCTGTGTGTTTGTCTGTGTAAGCAAAAACTCAAAAATTTCTGAGTAGATTTTGATCAAATTTAGTTCATAGGTACCTTAAGGTAATATGCAGATGTGATTAGTTTTAGGACCATGTTCATGCATATTAATTAGCTAATTTGCATATTAATTATCCCTTTTCAGTCTGTTTAAACAAAAAAGCAACTGTTTGATCTGGCTCTATATGTTGTGACAACATTGCGTTTGAGTTATTTTATTAGCCTCAGCACTTACATGTATATTTAATAAAATTAACGACAAAAAGCTAGTAATTTTATATTTTTTGTCAACTCGTCATGTTACACCACCTACATGTATGGAGGATGATTTTTCAGACCTTATATGGTATTTCATTACTAAATATGGTCATATTGATGTATATCAAGTTTGCATCACCTTTCTTCATTCCCTGTGCAAAATTTTAGCTACATTTCTCTCAGAACTTAAATAATTATATTTTAGTAGTCTTTCTATTCTAACAATCCTACCAACCATGGTCCAAAGCATGTTTTTTT